GTTTTCAAAAGCTAGTATTCATGATGGTATAGAGGCGCATTAGTGCACATGGTATGGGTGACGTGCACATCTGTGAGGGCACCATTAATGCTGAACGATATTTACGTTTTGGCAACATATGCTGCCATCAAGATGACGTCTTTTTCAGGGAAAGCCTTGCTTATTTCAGCAAGACAATGCCAAACCACATTCTGCATTTATTACAGCAGCATGGCTCCATATTAAAAGAGTCCAGGTGCTAAACTGGCCTGCCTACAGTCCAGACGTGTCACCCACTGATAACATTTTGCACATTATGAAATGAAAAATACGACAAAGGAGACTCCAAACTGTTGAGCAGCTGAAATCCTACATCAAACCGGAATGGGAAAACATTTCACTTTCAAAACTACAGTAGTAAACATGCCCCCGTCCCAACTTTTTTGGAATGTGTCGTTGGCATAAAATTGAAAATGTGCATATATTTTTCAAAACACAAAATTAGTTTCAACATATGTTGTCTTTGTAGTAGTTTCCTTTAAATATATGGTTTACATGATTTGCATATCATTGCGTTATATTTTTATAAAATCTGCACAGCATCCCATTTTTTTTGGAAATGGGGTTGTAGTTCTATTGTAAATGAATATATAGCTTTCAAAAGGTCAATAAAACAGGCACACTGACACCAGCTTTGTTAGTTTTCTCATCATATAAAAGCGATTTCACTTCTCACAGAAGTTTCACTTCTCATTAAACTGTCTGGGTTCCATATCTGAGGAAACTGACGGGGTTTTTTTGGCTGAATTTCAATGTGGCAGCGTAAAGAAATCAGGAGGCAGTAAATCCAATTTCACACAAAATCACTGCACGTATAATATTATCAGTACTGAAAAATACATTGAAAAACAGCAATACACTACAGAGCATACGTTTTTTTTTTTCCCGACTTTTGTCTTATTTAGATAACTTAGTTTAATTTGTACTCAGATTCATTACATTCATTCAGCTCGCTGTCACTAGCTTATTTACTATTTATGTCATGCTCGGACAGACTTCAGACACTCGCAGACCACGTTTAAGTAAAAAGGGGTTATTAACAAAGGGGGAATCCGAAATCAAAGTCAGTTCAATGTCAAAAGCCAATACACTAAAACAGTAACCATGAGGAGAGTCCAAAAAGAAATGTCCAAAAACAGAAACAGCGTCAAACCAGCAGACACAGCAATACTGAAAGGGTAGGGGAAAAAGGCAAGGTCAAAGAACAAACAAAGCAAGGGTCATACACAAAATGGCAAACAGACAAATAGAAAGGCTTGGTAAGGCTCTGATAACAAAGGCAATACTTTACACTGAACTAAGCTAAAGCCCGGGCTTATATACTAAACTAACAGTTATTTAGGACAAGGAACAGGTGTGTGTAATCAGTAGTCAGGTAAGGCACAACGCTGGAGTCATGAGAGGGGGGTTGGTGGTCATGTGATCCAGAGTGGGGTTCTGGGTAGTGGAGTTCGGAGGCTGGGATGAGGGAAGTGTGACAATTGATTCTTTTTTTCTTCAAGATAAGCACAGGGCCTGTAACTTGTGTCTCCCATTGAAAAATTAAAAACATATGTTTGAACTGAATTCCATTTATTTGGTTAAATTTCCATGCTGTCACAGTTTCCCAGTTCAGTTGCCACACTGTTTTATTCCTGCTTCTGTTTTATCTCCATATCCCCATATTTTCACCTGTTTGTCATAGTTCATAACCCCACCTAGTCATTATTGTTATCCCAAGTGGTTTTTATTTGTCTTCAGTGCTGTTAGCCATGCCTCAAAGCTAAAGCTGTAGCTGAAGAAGGTTGCATTTCTTGGCTGTTATGTCACTAAAGGCTGTTCCATTTTATAGGGTCCTTTGAATGCTGCTGAGAGATGCGTTTTTCTTTTGTGAGAAATTGATGGTGTATCCTTCAAGACCTTCAGTCTCCCACAATCAGTCATGCACAGCTGAAAAATGGCAAAAACAGAAAAATAAGAGGAGAAATTCTGCAACGCAAAAGATCGCAATGAAATGTAATGAAGCGTTAATTTTAATGTAATGCAGCAATATTTAAACGTGTCACATTGCTTATGTCAGTAAAATGTGGCATGTTGGTCCAGCCTGTTCAGGCCATCTCGAAAGTACACTAAAGTGAGCATTAAAGAGGGGCCTTCATATATCAGTGCTAGGAAGGTCTCTCCTACCTTGTGTGCTGTCTTCACTTTGAGACACATCTTATATGTGTATAAGCTTGGCCCCTTATTATGTCCTTTACCTGTGTGTTGTCTGTAATAGAGGTCTACACTCCTGCAGGACCCGTCACAATATCTTGCAGCACGGTGCTAATTTTCAGTGTTGTGCGCAGGAGCAGGCGGGGAACCAGCCCACTGCAGGTGGGAGCAGGGCGGAGCACACACAAAAGAAATCTTGCAAAATAATGAATAGCCTAAATGAAGTAGAACGATCACTACATTGTTTATATAAACAAAATAAAAGGATTACAGTAAAACAGTTAAAATGAATGAAGTCATTCTAAAGAGTTGTGAAGTAACCATTTATGTGAACAACAGGCAAAGTTTTACAGCTTAGAGAGACAGTGGGGCCTTCAGTAATATGGCCACAGCTGCTGAGCCCAGCCAAACACCAAAAATAACCGCCCCGTGGGTTAATTCCTGCTTTGTGTTTACTGGGAATCAATGGCATTTGGTGAAGGTACTTGAGTCTAACAACTGTGACTGTTGTGTTATTTCAGCAGAGGATTGTTGCGGGACGGCTGGGAACAGATCCAAGTGCAAAGACGTAAAACCCGTGAGAAAGGGTGTTAAATACATTTATTGAGATAATGGGATGTGACTTTGGCACAGAGTTGAGGTGAACGATGTACTGATCGGCAGTCCGTGAAGTTAGCGCTGCAGGAAACACTGAAAGCAGCATGCTCAGACAAAGGCTGAACTAGAAACGTGAAATAATCAGAAAATAAAAGTTACTTCCTCTGTAATTATGAGGGGGAGGTAGACTTTGTTTCACTTGGTTGCTCTTAATCAAGCAAACACCTTTTGTATGACTTGGAGCCGTTTGAAGCTCAAGCCTTCTTGTGGTTTTTAAGTAGTTTTGGGGCAATTTCTCTTACGTTTTTTCCAGCCCTCTTTCCTTTTCTTTTCTGTTTCTTTTCTTTTACATACCCACCTGGGCTGCGTACCGTACCAGTCATCCCTCTACAAAGGTGTGACAAAGGGCTGCTCTTTGCCACAGCCTTAAGTAGAGGAGTACACTGGTGTGTATGGTTGGGCCTAATCAGCCCAAGGGCTTCTGGGAATTGGAGTTCCCTGAAGTTATGGCACCTGGCCGCCAGCAGAGGGCGACGGTGGCACAGGCTGGGTCCTTACAAGGATACTGTATTTGTAATTAGACTGTGTCAGATATTGGATGTCTGTTCATCTTGATGGAACAGTGCTGGCAGGAGCAGGACAAAATACTTGGTTGCGGGCGGGTGCGAGACAAATAATTCCGATTTTCTGTGGGAGCAGGATGATAAAACAGCCCCACACAAACTTCTAGTTTGTAACTCCTCCTCGGAATGATTGGCTCTTGCCTGTTTCATGTCATATCATAGCTAATAATCTCTTCTGAAGACACCTTTCCTAGTGGCTGAACGTGCTTACTGTTTTCAAGTTGTTTTAGTTTATGAATTGTAATACCAACACTATTTTAATCATGGTGGGGAAAGAGGCAGACAGTCTATCAAAATAATCAAATAACACTATACAAATATAATAAGTGCTAATAATAATGTAAATTTTAAACATGTACATTAACACTCTTCTCATGAATCACATGAAGTCGCACTTTTGATGACCCACCCAACTTGCACTTGAAAGCAGCACCTGTGTACTCCTCTACTTAAGACTGCGGCAAAGAGCAACACTCATTGTATACAACGCTCAACTTGTGGTCAAAGAAGGATTTTCCCCATGGAAGGTCTGTCCTGCTCCAGCTCCAGTGTTGCTGGTCAGCTGGGACCTTGCTTCCACTTGGCAAAGCTGTGGGCTTTCTGGTTCCAAAATCTGCAGTCTGCCTATCTCAGTTATTTTACCCACTGTCCCTGCCTGCAGCTGAAAATGCCATCATCGTCATCACTTTTATTTAGCACTTCTACATGGTTCCCACAGCTGGCAGGGGATTCCACTGACAATGGAATAGAGTCACTTTGTTAGCCCGGAAAGAGTCCTTAACTGCAGGGAAAGTCTCACTCCGCAACTGCAGTGCATCACACAGGCCGGCACAGGAAGTCTTGAAGGCCGAAAATGTCCTTAGCCATGAAGGGGTAGCATTTCCTGCAGCCAGACACCAGAAAATAGAAAAGAAGGGCTTGAAGGCAAATAAAGACCTATATTGTGATTGCTGTTTATGAATATCCAAATAAAATAAGGCTAAATAATCTGTCTCTGTATCCATTCCCTCCTAGGACATTACACTGCAGGAAGCAGATGCTACAGACTGGCTGCAGTGTGTCTGGGGCTGCTGTGTGTTCTCCTGCTGACTGGCATCACAGTGCTGTGGGTCAAGTTTAACCACCTGGCTACCCACCAAGACCAGCTACAGACTTTGGAGAAAGATGAATTGCAGACCAGGTGCACCAACCTGACTATAGAGAGGGACCAGTTAAAGAAGGAGAAAGATGAGCTTCAGAACAAGTTGGCTTTTATTGGTAAGAAAATATTTCTCAAAGTCCCAGTTAATAAGGGAACCAGAATCATAATTATACTTACTTATTATTTAATAAGATAATTATTCTTTTCTAATCTCCTTTTTGTATGAAATCAGTCAAACCATTTCCAAAATGTCATTTAAAACACATCACATGCATATATGGGCACCTGCAGTTAGAAAACCACCAAACAGATTACTCTGGATAGCTGGATAGCCCTACCATTGCTATAAAGGGGTGCTATTTTTCTGGGTATAATTTTTTCCTTGTATTTGCCAGTTTGCTGTTATCATGTGTAAGTGGTTCAACTATGATATTCAAAATCCAACACTGCCTTCAAAGACCAGACAAAAGACCTGACCAGACCTGACCAGACAAAAGCAAAGCTTTAAGCAAAGCTTAAAGGTCTTTTCCCATTTCTTATGAGCAGGTATGAGAGAAATAAACTGCTTGCTAACAACAATTACGTTATTTAATACATAAAAAGAATAAATGAGTGAAGGAACATATGAGTGAAGATGCTTACAGACGGGTGTGCTGCATGATACAATTAAGGAAGACTTCAAGATTGTAAGATGAAAGATCAGCCCTCACTTTCAACTTTGGGCCAAAACCCATTTTTAAACATTACTAATAGACTAAGAGTGCTATAGTAATTCATTGGAGTGTCTGGATTGACAGCATGTCTTTACTGTAAAAATAACACATTTAATAATAACTACAACTCCACATTACATTCATTGTTTTCAAAACTTAGTGTTCCACATTTTTCCACATTACACTGAGCAGCGTATGTCCTGCTCTATGAACAGATACATATACAAAGCAAGGATGGCTTTACTTCGGTGGCAAAGTTTATTACGTTTCTACTGGAGAGAAGAGCTGGAGTGAGAGCAGAGAGGACTGCAGACAGAGAGGAGCAGACCTGGTGATCATAAACAGCAGTGAAGAACAGGTGAGAGAGAGCATGTGCATGTGAGAAAGCTACTATTCTTCTGCAGTATTTTCATACTGTGCAACCATGTTTACAGGAATTTTTGCTTAAAACACTGGATGGACATCGAGCTTGGATTGGTCTGACTGACACAAAGACAGAAGGGGACTGGAAATGGACAGACGGCTCAGCACCAACCATTAAGTAAGTGCCTATGATTTCTCCCTCTCCTCTCATGAAAACACACCAGGCTGAACTAAACGAACTCTAAACATTCTCATCTTAAATCTCCTCCTTACTTGAACTTGAACAGAGGAGTAAAAGTATGCAAATAGTTTTACTATGTTATTTTCTTATCTTCTATTATACTAAACCTAACTGAACATATGATATGAAACATATCTGAACACATAACATTAAACCTGACTGAATTGGAAGGTCTCACTAATGGTTTTGTTTCTCTGGGTTACAGGTTCTGGTGTCCAGGTGAACCAAATGATTCAAATCATGAGGACTGTGGTGAGCTTTTGAGTTTGACACATACTCAGAAGTGCTGGAATGACATTCCATGTCATCTCAAAGAAGGGTGGGTCTGTGGGAAAAGTGCTTAAGTTATAAGGAGATCGCTTCTGAAGAAAATGCTCTCTCACAAATCAAGCCAAATGTAATGGCCTACCAGAGGTGTGGACTCGAATCATATGACTTGGACTCGAGTCCTACTCGTGTCACGAACTTGATGACTTGAGACTCGACTTGAGACTTGACCGTCATGACTTGGAAAGGCTCGAGACCCAAAGTGGAAGAGGCGTAGAGAGAGGCGTCAGACTGCAGACTGCTACTCTGTTGGTTACTTCTCATGTGAATGAATTAGTTTCCTACCATGAATCTGAGATATAGCATCGTCGTCAGATGTCTGTCACTGTGCACTGTATTTATTTTATGTCGGAAGACAAGTGTTAGAGTTCAAGTTCACCTCCATGAGCTGGAAGCATCCACAGCATCTATAAGCCCTCACTCAGCACTGAAACTCCAGTCTTATTGAGAAACACCAGGCAACCTCATGGTAGCAAAACAAAAGAAACAGTTCTCTCTATTGACAGATTTTAACAGCTTCAGTTCACTTGTTGTTCGCCAACTTCGTATTGGAATTTGCCATTTCACCTTAAATGGTGCAGCAGTCAGGCGCCTGAACGTAACTGCTGCACCATTGAAGGTGGAACGGAAAATTCAACTAAGAAGCTGCTGGCGAAAAAAAGTCAACAACTTCAGCTTCGTTTATTCTCCATCATTTTGCTGCCTTTTCTGAAAACTTTGTTCAGCTCAGTCATTTTGGTTTCTGCTGTTTAAACTCAACTCAAACCAGCAGTTGTTTTTACTTGGCTGGGCTAGTTTTTTTTTATCTTAATCCTGTGTGCACAGTGTACCCAAAAATCATCACAAATAATGTTCAGATATAAGGTTAAAAAAAAAAAAATTAAGTGTTTTCTTCAAGGGTTCTTTAGTAAAGAAAATGGTTCTGTCACCATGAACACTCAAAGGACCCTTGCATTATTAAAGCATTCTGTGCATCATAAAATGGTTCTTCAGATTGATGGAGAATGTACTGTAGATGGTTCTATATAAAACATTTTTGAAAAGGGTTCTATATAGCACCCAAAGGGGTTCTTCTCTTTTCAAAAAGGTTCTATATAGAGCCATCTACGGCATGTTCTTCATAAATCTGAAGAACCATTTCATGATGCAAAACAATTTTTAATCATGCTAAAGGTTCTTTGAGGGTTCATGGTTCTTTATCGAACCATTTTCTTTACTAAAGAACCCTTGAAGAAAATTCTTTTTTAGTGTGTTGTTATTTGTGTACCATAGACTATGTATTTTAGTTGGAAGGGTGAAAAATTTAAAAAGGCTATAGTACTGTTACCATTATTCAGTGTTGTGGCCATAATTTGCTGAAGAATGCAGACTGACTTCTTTAGGACTCGAAGATTAGGACTACTGACTTGAGACTCGCCTTCGCTGACTTGGGACTTGAATCGAGACTCGATTCTCTTGACTTGGGACTTGACTCGGGACTTCATAGTCAAGACTTGAGACTTACTTGTTGCTTGCAACTTAATGACTTGTTCCCACCTCTGCCCTACACACTAAAGGAGGAGCGTTTCTAAATGGTTCCTGGCTGGTCACATACACAAAAAAAGAAACTTAGTAAGGGTCACATGACTGCACAAACAAGACAGAATTGTCCGTCAGAAGGTGCTTTGGTAGGAGAGAAGTCACAGTCAGGTACATATTGGGACATTAATAAAATTATTGTTATTTTAGCTGCCTATCGCAGCATACTGGAGTTCAGTGGATTAATGTAGTGGTTCCTAACCCTGTTCCTGGAGTACCCCCCACACATTTTAATGTTTCCCCTGCTCCTAACACACACAATCCAACTAATAGCACAACAACCCTTTTATGACTTGAAGTAGAGGTGTGGGGAGCTGGAAAACACTACAATGTGCAGGGCAGGGGGAATTCCAGGAACCACTGGATTAGTGAATATGATCAGGAGGTATGTATTTACATCTGAATTACCCCATTTGCATGTATATATCCTCAAATTAAGGCTGAATGTCTGCACTTTGAGCTTATATTTCATTTCAACTCCAGTATACTGTAACAGACAGCAAAAAGAACTATCCTTGTTTACATTCAAATATTTATGGACCTGACTATATGTGATCATTAATGTATCCACATCAGGTGTACTGAATATGAGTATATTAATCCCAGAAAAAAGATCAGAGGTGACAAAAAAAATCATGGTTATATCCATCTGAAATGTTGCATTATGTGATGCAGTACATCACAAAGACAGCTCTTGCTGTCTAGAACTAAGTAGGTTTTATAAGTGAGGCCCTTTGAGATTTTCCTCATTTCTTTTTCTCTTGTCTATTAGTCAAATTCTCATTCATTCTGTTTAAATCCTTAATTAAAACATCCCACAGAATTCATTGCATCACACATCACCTGTGACAATGCAGACTCAGAGAGGTGTGAGGGATCCATATGCAGGTTTATTAACAACAAGGCAGTAAATCAGCCCTATGGCTCTGGCAGACAATGCAGAAAGAAAAAAAGAGTAAAGGCCGATTCCAAGAAGTCAGGCAGAGGTTCCAAACACCAGCGGGTCAAACAAAACAAATGCTCAGTAGTCAGACTCAAAGGGATTTGCAATGCTTTGCATCGACTGGCTGAGTTTGGGGAGCAGTCAATGTGAGACTGATTAGGGAGGTAATGAGGTGCAGGTGGCTTGACCCTGGAAGCAGGGCTAGTATTCTGGTGGCCAGTTGGGGAATTACTGACATCACCAAACATAATCACTCTTAATTAAGTTTTTAAGGTACTGATTCATTGACTTAACATTCACTTAAGTAAGATCTGCTACTGTATTAGCTCAAGTGAAGTCTGTTAAATGGAGGGATGAGGGATCCAGTCAACATTAATGTAGATATAAATAAAAACAGCAGAACTGATGTCTTAAAACAATTTCCATTTCACAGAAAGCCAGAGCAATAAAAACAGCGTTTTATGTAGCAAACTACTCCATCTGTTGTACATGACTGTTACTGCAGATTCATTACTTTGCTAGTGAACTATGAGCTCCACAGCAGTACAAAGTTTTCTCATTTATCCGATCAGCTCACTGAGGCAAGCCTTGTCAAGAGCTCTCTTATAATTTTTTTTTATTTACAACCCATTACTGTATTTCTGTTTTTATCTACCTTTTAAATTTTGCTTTTACAGTTTCTTTTATCAAAAAGTAACAGTGGCGGTATGTCTCAGTATATCATATATTAGAGGAGATCAGTCATAAGCTCTAATTTTAACAATTAGCAATGTTAAAGTTTGAACTATATTTTTGAGATGTTAATTAGACAAATCCCTGCAAAATGTTTTTTGTATTATTTGTATTATTAAATATTCTTTGCCATTTCCTTCATAATGTTTCTGATTATTGAATATAATTTGGTTTATTAAGTCAATGCATGGTTATCAATGTGGTACATGGATAAATCATCCCTCATGTTGGTTGTGACACTGTTGCATGTTTTTATACAGTTTTATTTCATATTGTATATTGATTATGTTTATTGGATTTCACACGTTTATCTGTATAATAAGGAAATTAGAAATTTTGTTAGATGAATTGTGATAGTTTTCTGATTGTTTTGGTAATGGAGTTGTTAATCATTTATCTGAAGTCCAAGTCAGGTGAAAGTCTGAAATGTCACACAGAGAGACCAGCTACAAACTGTAGATGGGTGACAAATGTAGTCTTATCAGCATAAGGAGGCTATCTTACTGGTTCTTGACTCACATCAATGGTCATGCAATATCCGGGTCACCATGTGTAGAATTTTTAGATCCCTCTTTCTTTAGAACCAGGAACAGGAGGCCAGCCTTGCGTCTGTAGCATTGATCTTTATTTCTTCATTGTGCACATGGTTCACAGACGACAAGCTGACCTGCTCGACCTAGAAGCCTATCTTTATATAGGCTGGCTCAGGCACACTGTTGCCTGTACATTGTCAAATTAGATATACAACCTATACATAACCTATACATAGACAGCCAGGAATAGTTGTTTACAATGTCCTCCCATTGTCCTCTGTACAGCTCACATAAAACATACACTGATTACACAGAACACATACATATTATAACACATACTGAACATAATATTACACATAAAACATATAATACAGCAGATCCTTCATAATCCAAGATGTGGTGGCTGGCTTCACATGTCTAACTTTTGCCCTCCTGGTATTGTGTGACTGTGGGATTCGACCAAACTGGGGAGGAAAAAAACACCCCAGACCGGCATCAGGGATTCCCAACTTGCAGCCACACAAACAACCACTTTTGTGTGTTTCTGCTGATTTAAGGATAATTTGTCAGCTACCGAGTGCCGGATGTCAGGCTGAAGAGAGGAAAGCTGCAAACAGAGTTGTGACTCAGTTCGACAGGTTTAGATACACATTCACTGTTAGTCTCTGAGTGACAGTATAAGTTGTTGAGTTTCAAAGCTTCATTCAAAAAGACCCCTGAGCAAACAGCACAGAGCTGTAGTTACTCATTTCCAGTTCCCACGCAGATGAAGCCCACAAAAAAATATAAAAATAACTAGCATTTTGCCTGAATAATCAATGAGTTTAATTAATAAAATGTTTCATGTTTGCAAATAATCAACAATATGTGTCATATTTTAAATTACCTAGCCTTACCTTAAATAACCTTTTATTTTAAATTTTACTAATTTTTGCATTAAAAAACTGCAGTACTGCCTCGGCCCACTGGGGGCTGCAGCCCACAGGTTGAAAACCACTGTTGTATGTTTAAATGGATTTTTTTGGCTGAAGTTCTAACTGATCTTTCCAGTATGGCTTAACTGAGTATAATCTGTTTGATGTTCACTGGTTCCAAAATTCCCAAACATCCCCTGAGAGCTGAAGTTATTATTACTGTTTTCCTTTACAGTGGTGCTTGAAAGTCTATTTAGAATTTTCTATATTTCTGCATACATTTGACCTAAAACTTCATCAGATTTTCATACATTCTTAATAGTAAAGAAAAGAGAACCAAGTTAAACAAATGAGACAAG